ACCTTCAATTAAAAACAGTCAACATTTCAGGGTCCTGATGAAAGCTTGAGGGGATCAAGCTGAAACATTGACTGTTTTTTATTGAAGGTAAATAAAAGTAAAATTTTATATAAGTCCTTCGAGTGCTATCTTTTGCAAATTTTTATTTAAATAGGTAGGGGGGTGAGTGGGATGTCATAAATAGCAGAAGATGTGCCTGAAAGTGAAAGGTGCAGATTGGCTGAAAATAGCCAGAAAAAGTAAACAAAAACAGTCAATAAGCTAGTTAAAAAGAAAAAAACCAAACAAGAAAACAGCAGAGCAGGGCATGAAAGCATATAGCTGCATATATGTATGTATATAAATTAATCCAATAATGGTGAAGCGAGAATATTGAAAAAAACTATATAAGACATTAAGATGTGTGTTTATAGACTTACATGCTGGGGTGATGACGTGAGGTGCGTGACGTGACGCGCGCACGCACCAGGAGGCTGGGTCTAGGGGGCTGACAGGCCGATGGAGGAATAGCTGCCATGAGGTAGTGGCATCGGAAGTGAGTGGAGAACGGAGAAGGGAGAAATAAGTGCCCTAATAATTGGCGTGCTGAAGACTGGAGGTGACTTACTGGAAATGGAGAACATTTAAATTAACATCCTCAGCACATTGGCAGCAAACCCTGGAGCCAAAGGGGGAGAAGGGGGGGGAATCGCCAAAAGAAAGTATATACAAAATCTTACAATTTTACTAAAATGAATTGGTGATGGCTTGCTTTGAAATTTAAAAGGTGATAACTGGGTGGCTTGCTAAAAAAATACTGAACCCCCGGACAAAAAAAAAAAAGGTGAAAAAAGGAAAGGAAAAGAAAAGATAAAGGAAAAAAAAACACATTTTTCTTCTTTTTTCATCACAAACTCTACCCTCTGGTTTAAGGGGAGAAAGAGGAAGGGTTAAACAATTTGCTTAATATTTTGTTTAACAAACCGTGAGCTTAACTTCTGTGACTGGGAAAATATTCGAAGGGCTATTAAGGGATAATATTCAGAAATTCATTGGGAAGAACTTTGTTATTAGCAATAATCAGCATGGTTTTATGAAACATAGGTCATGTCAAACTAACCTAATTGCATTCTACGAAGAAGTAAGTAGAAGTATAGATCAGGGCGTTGCAGTGGATGTGATCTACTTGGATTTTGCCAAAGCATTTGATACGGCTCATCACAATAGGTTAGTCTTCAAAATAAAAGAATTTGGTCTAGATTTTTATTCTTGTTCTTGGGTAGAACATTGGCTTAAGGATAGAGTACAACGAGTTGTCATTAATGGTAAATTTTCAGACTGGACAAAAGTGGTAAGTGGTGTACCTCAGGGTTCTGTTTTGGGACCTCTTCTGTTTAACATATTTATAAATGATCTTGAAATGGTTTCGGTGTTTGCAGATGACACTAAACTTTGTAAAGTAATAAAATGTGAGCAGGATATTGCTTTGCTGCAGAGGGATTTGGATAGATTGGGGGATTGGGCACTAAAATGGCAGATTAAATTTAACGTAGAGAAATGCAAAGTTATGCACTTCGGGGTCAAGAATGCTCAAGCAAATTACACCCTAAATGGTAGTGAATTAGGGATAACCACACACAAGAAGGATTTGGGACTGTTATAGACAACAATTTAGGCAGCAATATGCAATGTCAATCTAGAGTAAGATTTTGTCATGTATAAATAGGAGCATAAATTGGGATGAAAATATAATTTTGCCTCTTTATAAATCGCTGGTAAGACCACACCTTGAATATGCTGTGCAATTTTGGGCACATGTTCTAAAGAAAGATATCATGGCACTAGAAAAAGTACAGAGATGAGCTACAAAATTGATAAAAGGAATTGAGGTTAAAAAATGTAAATCTCTTTAGTTTGTAAAAACGGTGCCTCAGAGGGGATATGATAACATTATACAAATATATTCGGGGCCAGTACAAACCATTATCTGGAAATCTATTCATAAACAGGGCTATACATAGGACACGAGGTCACACATTTAGGCTGAAAGAAAGGAGATTTAATCTAAAGCAAAGAAAATGTTTATTACAGTAAGAGTAATAAGGATATGGAATTCTCTGCCTGAAGAGGTGGTTGTTATGGCACCCTCAGCATACAAGGGGGTAAAAACGTTTAGGCGATCGTCCCCCTTTCCAGAGATGCAGGCACAGCTACTGTAGAACACCAAACTCACGAACTGCCAATAAGGGAATGCTCCAAACTCCCGAACGGCATACAATATAGCACTCCAAACACACGAACTGGAACCATACGAATCACTGCTAGCAGACGAATAGGAAAAGCATCCAAGCGGCTTAAACTCCTAGCAATCAGTCTCTATCAGCATTCAGTAAATCCCCCCAAAGACGAGACAAGGCTCCGTGTTGCGGGTCAAGCAGTGGTCTGTTTAATGAGGGCTACCTGCCCAGTATTTATGCAGGTCTCCCACCTGGTGGACACTCCCCTAGGGGACCAAATGGGAGACTGTGACAAGGGACAGACAAGTAGACAAATAGGACACACAGTCACATTGTATTCCCGCAATGCATCCTGGCTTCCTCCCCTCTGCCCTGGAGATAATTGAGAAGTAATTCAATTATCTCCCAGGACAAAGACAAAATCGCCATTATGCATGTGGGGATACTAAAACAAGAATTACTATTAAAATACACTATGTGAGACACATTACAATAAAACTATACATTTAACATATCCCCAGATAGCTCAGGTCTGAGCGCACATTATTAAGCGAATGGCGCTCAGACCACAAGAATACAGTTCAATCGCCATGGAGCCAAAGTCTTTAAAAGTCAGTTCTCATACGAATGAGCTACATGGGATTCCTATCTGGGGTATAATACAGTCCGGTAAAACTACTGAACACCGGGCCGTTTGTGCACTCCCGCCGAACAAGAAGGGAGGTCGGCGGCTTTAGCGGTGTTCGCGCCAAACTGTGTCCAAGAAGGAATTTTTTCCTAGTTTGTCGCAAAATTGGAAGTGCTACAGACTAGGTTTTTTTGCCTTATTTTGGATCAACAGCAAAAACATATGTGAGGAAGGCTGAACTTGATGAACGCAAGTCTCTTTTCAGCTGTGTAACTATGTAACTATGTAATGTACACAAATAGAAACTCTAAAGTCTATAAATAATAACGAGAAGAGAAAGAGAGAAGTGGATAATAAAGGGGAAGCAAAAAGAGCTAGATATACGAAAGAGAAAGGGAAAGGGAGTAAAAAAAAAGGAAGCAAAAAAAAAAAGGGAACTAAGCCTGTGGAAATGGCTATGGCAAAAATAAAGAAAAAAGAACTAAAAAAAGACAACAAACAAGACAAACACGTCTGCCTTTTTCTCCCCTCAAAATAAACAGGGAGTAGAAAACTCTCATGCAGAAGAATCTCTATTGGAAGAGAGAAGAAATTCCATGTCTAACCTTCAAGATTTTATTAAAACAAATTTGGAAAATCAAACAGAGACATTTAAAAAAGAACTAGATAACAGAACACGCTTATTAAAACAGCAAATAGAAGAACTTGGTATGAAAATAATCAAAATGGAGGAAAATCAAGAAAGAATTGTATCTCAATATAACAGAGTTTCTGAGGAACAGGAAAAAATAAAGATGGATCTGAATAATTTAGAAACCCGATTAAATCAATTGGAGGATAGACAAAGGATGACAAATATAAGAATAAAAAATATTCCTGAGGACATTACTTATGAGAGAACAAAATTATTTTTAATTGAACTGTTTGCAACGTTAAACATCCAACTCCAAATCAAGAACTGATAATAGAGAACACATACTGGGTGAGAAAACCACAAAACATCCCGGAAACATGTCTTAGAGATATGGTGGTCTCCCTATATTCACTTCATATTAAACAACAAGTCATCCAAGCAAGCAGAAATATGAAGATAACAGAAGAAAGATTTAAAGACATCTTAATTTACCAAGACCTCTCAAGAACTACAAGAATGTGGAGGAAAAAATTCTCCACAGCACTAACGCCATTAAAGAAACACAACATAAGATACCGAAGGGGACCCAAACAGATCCATAACAGTTTTTTGGAAAGATACAAAGAAATTGTTTCTGGACGTTAAAGAACTGGAGAAATGGACAACAGAACAAGTAACTTGACAAGTGACAGCTGCTGTCCTTTTTTTTTTGTGAATCGGCACAAGACACAAAATAACGAATGAATTGATTAAGACACAAATGTAATTACTACAATAGTAATAAGAAGAAACACAGTGGACCATGAAAAAATACATTTTTTTTCTGTGGGAAATAGAATAGTGATAACTGGAGCAATTCACAATATAATGTAAGATAAGCACTGGTAGAAGGAAAGAAATAGTAAATATATAAGGAAAAATAGGTACTTTCCACATGAAATAAAGTGAAAGAAAAGGGATTAGAATAACAATATAATAGCACAGGTAGTTTTGAGTGAGAAATTGCACTAAATAAAAGAAATAACACACTTTGTAAAACGGATGAGCACACTGGGGAAAGAAAAATTACACACTAGGATAATTAAAGAACACAACATTTTAAGGGTATCATATAACAATAGTGGATACAAGATAATTCACATGTAATAAGTGTGGTATTTATTCACTGGGTAAATTTAAAGTTTAAGTATTAGTTTAAGTTGTAATTTTTATCTTGATGCTCCTCTTCACACTCACTGGACAGATAGTGGCCCAAACTCATATAATTGTTGATATAGGTACCCATTAGATTATGTTTAGAAGTAACAACAATATAATAGGGAATCTTATGTAAAGAAATCGCTGGTCTAGCTCAACCCTTTAAATACCCCTGCTTTGAGGTCATTTAGTATATCTCAGCCCTTGGCATTATGGGTAATTATGTTAAGGAATATATTCAGAGGGGACTGGAGTCCCCCTCTGTTGTAGGTGAGAATGTGTGTTGTTCTTTTTTTTATAGGAGATTCTATATGTATTGTTTATATGGGGAAAGCCGAGACTGGGACAAGGAGTAAATAATTGGGATATATAACTCTGTAGTGCATTTCTATGAATATACAGGGTTTAAATACCCCATTAAAAAGAAAACTTTTATATGAATTACTCAGAAAGGACCGGATAGATATAGCAATGATACAAGAAACTCACTGGAAAAAGGAAGAGGAAACCAGATGGAAAAATGAGTTGTTTGAGGTAGCCGCATATGCATCTCTAGAGAGCGCAAAAAAAAGAGGAGTGGCCATCATTTTTCCAAAAAGGCTCAATAAGGAGATAATCTACTCTGAAGTAGACAATGATGGTAGATACAAGATTTTAGTATGTAAAGTCGACTCAGTTAATTATACTTTTGTAAATCTGGATCTCCCTAATGTATTAAGAACTAAGTAACTAAAGAAGATAATGGAAAGAGTGGAAAAAGTTAAATTGGGATTATTAGTCATTACTGGGGATTTCAACTGTGTCCCAGATATAGCATTGGATAAAAAAACTAAAGAAAAAAAAATAGTAAACAACTAAAGAAACAATCTAATATCTTAAGAAATTTCATGCAAGAAAATAACCTAATGGACATATAGCGAGTATATTATGCAAATGAAAATGAATATACACACCACTCTAGAGAACATCATTCATTGTCTAGAATTGATTTGGTTTTAGGAGAGAACAGTCTAGTAGAACATATGCAGAAAATTATAATAAAGGATAATCCAGGGCGGACCATAGTTATAATTTGTTTGATATAAAGGAAAAGAGAAAATATAAACCTTTTAATACGTGGCGCCTGGATGATAATATTCTGTCCAATACAGAAGACCAAAATCAAATTAGAAATCAAATAGAATTGTACTTTATTGAAAATAAAACGGAAGGATTGCCTTATGCAGCCATCTGGTGTGCCTTTAAAGCCGTAGCAAGAGGGTATTTGATAAAAATCAAAAGTAAAATCCAAAGAGAAAAAGGCGTCTCGAGGGAAGAATTATACATAGAGTACTATAAGCTATCTAAAAATAACAAAAAACATCTAACCAACGAGAGGATAAACCAATTAGAGGAGATTAAACTAAACTAAATAAAATAGAAATGGAACGCATTAATAAAAACTTAAAGAAAATGAAAATGAATTTTCAACAATAAAATAACAAAATGGTTAACTAACAAACTTAAAAGGAAATCAGGGAAGAATAGGATTAAAAAAGAACAAATAATATATAAAAATCCAGAGACCATAGCTAAAATCTTTCAAGCATATTATGAAGAACTATATAACATCCCAAAACAACCTAAAGGAAACCAATAAAACACTATTTAAAAAATTAACACTGGAGCAAAATAATTTCATAAATGTACCCCTCACTAAGGTAGAATTTAACCCCTTAAGGACACAGCTTCAGAAGCTTGACTTACGCTTAATGACACAAGCAATTTTTGCATTTTCTTGCTGTTTGCGTTCAACTGCAATTTGCATCTCTCTCATTTATTGCACCGACACATATTATATACTGTTTTTTAAAGGACAGAAAGGGCTTTAATTTGATATAACATATATATATATATAAATGCTTACTTATTATAAAAAAAATACAGAAAAATGCAAAAAAAATGAAAAATATTGTTTTTTTTTACAGTTTTTGCAATAATAATGTGTGCATAATTAGTGCAGGTTAAGGAAAGTAATTAAAAATAAATTTATTTATTTGTTCTGATTTACAGAATATATAATGTGTCTGGGATTTTAAGTTTTTTTTGGTAGTTACAGGTCACAAAGCACAAGGAGTAAAATAAACTTTTAATGTGGAGCGATTTTAGAATTTGGTATGTTTGTCTTGTAAGCTTAATAGCCATAAAAGAAAACAAAATTGCCACACAAAAGTATATATTTATATAAAGTAGACATCACGGGCTGTTTACCTAAGGTTGTTTTGACACTTTCTACGTAGCCATTTCACCGCCAACCTCTGCTAAATATTGGAGTAAAATTGTGTTCTTTTTGGTTTTTGGCACACAAACTTATAACAGAGAAATTCTCGTGTATATTTTGTAAAGTTGGTGTGTGCTATTCCTGTACAAAGTTTTATTTTGTGTTCAGTTACATCTGCTGAGTAAAATGACACCCCATTGTATGTCTTTTGCACTATTTCGTGAAGTTACAGTGCCATACAGGATACCTGTCCTTTTCAGTATTCACAGTAGAATTTTGAGAGATGAATTTAATGAGCCTTAGCTTCCATTTGGGGTATTATAACAGTTTGACTGTTCAAAAAATCCCCACAAAGGCCTACCATTTGTAAAAGTAGACACTCCAGGGTATCTCATAAGGTGCATATTGTGCCTTAACATGCCCCCATTTTTTCACCAATATATGCCAAAGTATGTGGTAAAAAATAATTTTGTGCATTTTTTACATACGGATTGCATTTTTGCTGGGCGTTTTGTATATTTCATATGTGCCACTAAGTTCAAACCCCCCAAATTATGCTCAGCTAAGTCTTCTGAGTAAAATGACACCCCATATGAATGTCTTTGGCACTATTTCGTGAAGCTACAGTCCCATATAGGAGACCTGTCCTTTACAGTATTCACAGTAGAATTTTGAGAGATGGATTTAATGAGCCTTAGCTTCCATTTGGGGTATTATAACAGTTTGACTGTTCAAAAAAAACCCACAAAGGCCTACCATTTGTAAAAGTAGACACTCCAGGGTATCTCATAAGGTGCATATTGTGCCTTAACATGCCCCCATTTTTCACCAATATATGCCAAAGTATGTGGTAAAAAATAATTTTGTGCATTTTTTACATACGGATTGCATTTTTGCTGGGCGTTTTGTATATTTCATATGTGCCACTAAGTTCAAACCCCCCAAATTATGCTCAGCTAAGTCTTCTGAGTAAAATGACACCCCATATGAATGTCTTTGTCACTATTTCGTGAAGCTACAGTCCCATATAGGAGACCTGTCCTTTACAGTATTCACAGTAGAATTTTGAGAGATGGATTTAATGAGCCTTAGCTTCCATTTGGGTTATTATAACAGTTTGACTGTTCAAAAAAACCCCACAAAGGCCTACCATTTGTAAAAGTAGACACTCCAGGGTATCTCATAAGGTGCATATTGTGCCTTAACATACCCCCATTTTTTCACCAATATATGCCAAAGTATGTGGTAAAAATAATTTTGTGTATTTTTTACATACGGATTGCATTTTTGCTGGGCGTTTTGTATATTTCATATGTGCCACTAAGTTCAAACCTCCCAAATTATGCTCAGCTAAGTCTTTTGAGTAAAAATACACCCCAATGAATGTCTTTGTCACTATTTTGTGAAGCTACAGTGCCATATAGGAGACCAAGCCATATCCGTTTTTACCAAACTTTGAATTTTGACGCTGTGCCTATGTGCAATTTCCAAGCATCTTCGCAGGTTTTAAATTCAAACTACCCCACAAAAGGCCTACCATTTCTTAAAGTAGACACCCCAGGGTGTTTCAAAAGGTATAGTTTGAACCTTAGCGTGGAATCATTTTTCCGCTAGCTTGTACCAGATGTAGTGGTAATAAGCGTTTTTTCTGCCTTTTTGACATACAAAGTGAGTTTGCACAGTATATTTTGCAAACCTTGTGTGTGCTACGACTGTATAATACTTCATATGTTGCTCAGCTATGTCGGCTGAGTACAGCAATACCCCCGTATGTACCTTTGCCAGGTATGTGTGGACATGGGAGGGGCACATTTGGGACACAGCCATTCCATTTTTTTTCAAACTTTGAATTTTTATGCTGTGCCTATGTCCCATTTTAGAGTATTTTACCAGGCTATATAATCCAAATTCCCCAAAAAGCCATACCATTTCTTAAAGAAGACATCCCAGGGTATTTCAAAAGGCATATTTTGAACCTTAGCGTGGGATCATTTTTCCGCTAGCTTGTACCAAGTGTAGTGGTAATAAGCATTTTTCTGCCTTTTTGACATACAAAGTGAGTTTGCGCAGCATATTTTGCAAACCTTATGTGTACTATGACTGTATAATACTTCATATGTTGCTCAGCTATGTCGGCTGAGTACAGCAATACCCCCGTATGTACCTTTGCCAGGTATGTGTGGACATCGGAGGGGCACATTTGGGACACAGCCATTCCAGTTTTTTTCAAACTTTGAATTTTTATGCTGTGCCTATGTCCCATTTTAGAGTATTTTACCAGGCTATATAATCCAAATTCCCCATAAAGCCATACCATTTCTTAAAGAAGACATCCCAGGGTATTTCAAAAGGCATATTTTGAACCTTAGCGTGGGATCATTTTTCCGCTAGCTTGTACCAAGTGTAGTGGTAATAAGCATTTTTTCTGCCTTTTTGACATACAAAGTGAGTTTGCGCAGCATATTTTGCAAGCCTTATGTGTACTATGACTGTATAATACTTCATATGTTGCTCAGCTATGTCGGCTGAGTACAGCAATACCCCCGTATGTACCTTTGCCAGGTATATGTGGATGTTGAAGGGGCGCATTTGAGACGCAGCCATTCAGTTTTTTTTCTAACTTTGAAGTTTTACGCTGTGTCCATGTTCCAATTTGGAGTAGTTTAGACGGCTGGTTATTGAAACTTCCCCACAAACACATACTATTTATTAAAGAATACACCCTGGGGTAATTCAAAAGGCATATTTTGAACCTTGGCGTGGGATAATTTTTTCTCTAGTTTGCTCCAGGTGTAGTGGTAATGAGCGTTTTTAAAATGTATTTTTTTACTTTTTATAACTTTTTACTTTTAAAAACTAGTTTTTAAACTTTTGTTTTGCTTATAAATTATTTTTAAACTTTCCTAAACTTTCTTAAAACTTTTTTACAGATTTAACATTTTTCTAAGCTTTTTTTTTTACCGTTAACCCCTAACTAGCAGTACGCAGCACTAACAGTAAATTCCCCATTTTCCCATAACTCCCACCCACCCCAGCTAGCAAAATATATAGTTATAAAATATTTAAATTAATTAATTAAATAAATTGAACCCCTGAGGGTTAAAAAAATAAATAAAAGTTAATCCTCAGGGGTTAAAAAAAATTAGATCACAGTATAATACTGTGATCTCTATTTGATCGCTGTAGGCAGTGATCGACTGGCAGGGAAGGGGTTAATTTTTATTTGGACTAGGTAAAGTGTGTTTTTTTTGTTTTTTTTACTTAAATGTTATTAAAACATTTTTAAGTTTAATTTTTAACTTTTTAAAGTTTCTTTTAAAACTTTTTTTTAACGTTAACCCCTAGTTAGCCTAACGCCAAATCCCCCAATTCCCCACTAACTTCCACCCACCCCAGCTATCTAAATATATAATTAAAAAATAATTTAATTAATTAATTTAATTAATTTAACCCCTGAGGGTTAAAAAAAAAAGAATTAACCCTCAGGGGTTAAAAAAAAAAAATCAGATCATAGTAAAATGTAATCCCTGCCAATTGATCACTGTAGTCAGTGATCAATTGGCAGGGAAGGGGTTAATTTTTTATTAAAATGGGTAAGGGGGGGGACACTTTAAATAAACTTTATTTTTTTTAACAGCAGGGGGCAGGATCATCACTGATCCGGCTCCCTGCACTTCACACAGAACCCGGAAGTGCAGGGAGCCGGTAGGTGAGTATACAGAGCACATGTGCTCGCTCTGACTTGTGGTCAGAGCGAGCACATGTGCTGGGCAGCCTGACCGGGTGCTCCCGGTATGCCTCTAATGCAGAGGCATACCGGGAGCACCATTAACCCCGCGATCGCCGCGATAGCGGCGATCCGGGGTTAATTTTACCGCGTGACGGACGAGGTCCGTCACCCGTCGTTAAGGGTCTCCCCTGTGTGACGGACCTCGTCCGTCACCCATCCTGAAGGGGTTAAACAAGCTATTGAAAAATTAGTACATTTTAAAACTCCTAGCCAAGATGGCCTGACCAATAATTTCTACAAGATTTACAAGGAATTATTATTGGAGCATTTGATAAATGCCTTTAATTAAATTGTGGCAAAGGGTATAGGGCCAAAAGAAATGCTATATGCTAATATTCTACTGATTTTAAAAAAAAGACAAAGATCCTCAAGAGCTTAAGAACTACTGCCCGATTTCACTAATAAATGTAGATTCAAAGCTGTTCTCGTCAATCCTGATAGATATGATAAAGAAAGTGCTCCCGGGCCTGGTCCATGAAGACCAGATTGGTTTTGTTCCTACGAGACAGGAAGGTGCCAATTCTAGGCGTTTGCTTAATATATTGGATTGGGGAGAGAGAACGAAGAATCCCCTCCTGACCCTGTCATTGGATGCAGAGAAGGCTTTTGACAGGGTTGGGTGGGGATATATGCTTGAGTTGCTAGTTGCTATGGGTTTTGGTGGTTGGATGAGTGCAGCAATTAAAACCATATATCAAGAATCGATGGCTAGAGTGGTGGGAATAGATCTGTGCTCTGATTGTGCAACGGCACCCGTCAAGTATGCCCGCTGTCACAAATACTTTATATACTTTCGATGGAGCCTCTAGGAATAAGAATAAGAGAAAATCCGGGTATTAGGGGGATCCCAGCAGCAGTTAAGGAATTGAAACTGTGTATGTACGCGGAAGACACCATAATGGCCCTGACTGATCCAATTGCTTCCGTTACTCATTTGGTGAATGAGATAATGCAATATAGCAAAATATCCAACTATAAGATCAACATAGATAAATCCGTGGTTGTGTTTAAAAATTGTGACTTGGATTGAAAAAAACAATTTTTTGATCTATATGGCTTTAAAGAAGCCAAGGGAAGCTTTGATTATCTGGGTATATTGTTGTCCGATAACATAGATAGAATAATAGAGATCAACTTCCTGAAGTTGATGAAATCCACAGTTTTAACTTTTAAAAAATGGAACACTTTGCTTCTAAGCTGGCTGGAAAGAATTAATATCTTAAATGCTTAAATAATTCCCAGATGGACTTATTTCTTTAAAATGATCCCCTTAAAAATACCTGCTAGCTGGTTGGAGATTATACAGAGAACTTTTAGAAATTGTGTTTGGAAAGGGAAAAGAACACGTATTAATCAAGAACAATTGACCAATCCCTTGGGGCAAGGAGGTATGAATTTCCCCTGTATTAAAAAACACTATGAAGCTAGCATAATATATCACACTCAGATGTTAACTAAAAAAGTAGTAAGAGAGGCAGGATAGTTCACTCTGGAAACCCAAGCATTAAACAAGAAAGACTTAAATAAGCTTATTTGGCAGAATAAAAGATTCCTGGTAATGAAAGAAAATAATAATACAATCTTAACTCATATTTGTTCATCTTGGTATAAAATAAGAAAAAAGATGAAAAATATAGGAAAGTTATATGGATTTATGGAACTAGAAATTTTGGAATCTCTAATAGATGATTTTAAATTAAATTTATGGAGAGAAAAAAAATATTAAAGTTGTAAACGATATAATTAAGGAGGGAAAAATTAAAATATTTGCAACTTTAGTCCTAGAATACAATTTACCTACATCTGAAGTATTCCATTACTTTAGAGTTAAGTCATTTTTGCTAAAAAACTTAGATGAAGGAAAAAGTCAAATTTCATTATATATTAAACAAATTTTTGAAAAAGGAAAAGCAATAAAATTATTATCTAAATGTTATTCGTTGATAAGATCTATGTCTAAAATTATTTTGCCAAAACAGTTAAGAAAATGGGAAAGCGAGTGCAATATTGAAATTAATATCTGTGTCTGGGGTGAAACTCTAGTCAGAACTAAGAAAAATGTACAAAATATAATATTGTTTGAAACACACTTTAAAGTGTGCAACAGATGGTATTCAGTGCCAACAAGATTAAATAAAATGAATGCTAGCGAGTCAAATATGTGCTGGAGATGCAAGAAGGTAGTAGGAAGCTATTTACATGTATGGTGGAGTTGTGATAAAATTTAAAAAAGTTTGGGTTCAGGTTTATAGATTCTTATATGAGTGTGGCAGAATTAGAATAGATTTCACATCAGTAACAGCACTACTGCACCTGGGTTGGCCAGATTCGACAACATTGCAATATTTCTTGGCCACACACAGCTTTATAGCTGTAAATATTTTGGTGGCAAGGAACTGGAAACAGCCGTCTGAAATTTGCTACACTCAATGGGTAAAACAACTGACAATGCAAGTAAAAATGGAAATGGGTATACGTTGGAGGAAAAGCATTGTAAATAAGAATAAATTGCTAGGAGAACAATGTTTGGATCTGAAAATGACATTCACATAAAGTCTGAGTAAAATATGTACTTTAGAGCTTATAGAAGTAAAATCTAAAAATTCAAGGTAAGAGCACTCCGGTACCAGTCCGGCACTTTTCCCACATTTGTAGAATGTTGTATGTAATGTAATAATAGCAGATATTTAAAATTTTGAATGTTTGTCTAATAATTGTATGTATGTATGTTTTAAAATGTTTTTGTATGATGGAAAATCGAATAAAGAATTATGAAAAAATAAAATGTAAGTTTATAAAAAGTTTTGGTAGTGTGTGAGAAAGCCAGAGTCTACATTAAGTCCTTCATTTCTGGTGTTGGAGAAACTGGCCTTAAGCTGCGTCTCAGAATGAATCTACACAGACACTCAATCAAGAACCACAAGAAAAACAGATATTATACCCTTGTTGGTCATCACTTCACCCAGACTGGTCACTCCATCCAAAACCTCAGGGATAAGGTTCTTAAAGGGAATTTCAAAGACTCTCTGAACAAAAGACATTTGAGATAAAAATTATCACACCAGAAATTAAGGACTTAATGTAGACTTGGCTTTTTCACATACTACCAAAACTTTTTATACTTGCATGTTAATTTAATATTGATATTTGCAAGCATTTAGTTTAATCTTATAAACTCTGCTATAAAATATTGTAATGGATTTTATCTGTCTATATTTATATTTTTATAAACTAAATATCTAAAAAGATTTTGCTTCCAAGACAATCCTTATTTTATATTGTATTCTCAATTGTTTATATATTTTAAATAGAGGATCTCTTACTAACTATATAAAATTATGGCTAAGATATCTGTATAGTTAGCCCTGCTAAGTTCTATGCTTTAAGACATTATAGTGGTAAATAAGGGAACCAGCTGCAGTTACAGGCATGCAGGCACTATGGAACATATTATGTGATTCAGAATTATACATGGGACTTCCGATTGAATATCTGATTTTCTACAAATTGCACTTAACTGCAATTATTATACATTTTAAAACAAATTTTTTTCTACAACTCTACGGGACGGCTATGAGGGCGGCCATGGTACCATCAAATGCCAACAATTTTTTTCTACAACTCTCCGGGATGGCTATGAGGGCGGCCATGGTACCATCATATGCTATGAGGGCGGCCATGATACCATCATATGACAATGAATTTGTGTATATGTTTGAGAAGACAAACGTCCTGCAGAAATATGGAGAGGAAATGAAGCATTACCTTTGATTCGTGGATGAAATCTTCATGGTCTGGGTAGACACATTTAAAGATCTTGAACAAATGGTACAACAGATCAACCAATCACCACTTCCTGTAACATTAAGCGTATGCTGGGATATGACCTCCATATAATTTTTGGATGTAACCAATTTTAAGAAGCAAGAAAAACTGGGTTACACATTACCTCGGAAACCCACGGACCAAAGGACATTGATGTTGGCCTCAATTCCGGCCTCATTTTTTACATCAGTTTAAGGATTCGTTATCTATATCTAGTGATGTCGCGAACCCAAAATTTTTGGTTCGCGAACGGCGAACGCGAACTTCCGCAAATGTTCGCGAACCGGCGAACCGGACGAACCGCCATAGACTTCAATGGGCAGGCGAATTTTAAAACACACAGGGACTCTTTCTGGCCACAATAGTGATGGAAAAGTTGTTTCAAGGGGACTAACACCTGTACTGTGGCATGCCGGAGGGGGATCCATGGCAAAACTCCCATGGAAAATTACACAGTTGATGCAGAGTCTGGTCTTAATCCATAAAGGGCAGAAATCACCTAACATTCCTAAATCACAATGGATATGGATTGACACCTGACATATGACATATTGACACCTTGACATATGGATTGACACCTGTCCTCAGAGACCTTGATACACACTGACACAGAGCAGAATAGAGACTGTTCCTCCTACATAGGGTCACTTGGCAGATATGGATTGACACCTGTCCTCAGAGATCCCTGATACACACTGACACAGAGCAGAATAGAGACTGTTCCCCCTACATAGGGTCACTTGGCAGATATTGATTGACACCTGTCCTCAGAGCCCCTGATACACACTGACACAGAGCAGAATAGAGACTGTTCCCCCTACATAGGGTCACTTGGCAGATATGGATTGACACCTGTCCTCAGGATCCCTGATACACACTGACACAGAGCAGAATAGGGACTGTTCCTCCTACATAGGTTCACTTGGCAGATATGGATTGACACCTGTCCTCAGAGACCATGATACACACTGACACAGAGCAGAATAGAGACTGTTCCCCCTACATAGGGTCACTTGGCAGATATGGATTGACACCTGTCCTCAGAGCCCCTGATACACACTGACACAGAGCAGAATAGAGACTGTTCCCCTACATAGGGTCACTTGGCAGATATGGATTGACACCTGTCCTCAGAGACCATGATACACACTGACACAGAGCAGAATAGAGACTGTTCCCCCTACATAGGGTCACTTGGCAGATATGGATTGACACCTGTCCTCAGAGCCCCTGATACACACTGACACAGAGCAGAATAGAGACTGTTCCTCCTACATAGGGTCACTTGGCAGATATGGATTGACACCTGTCATCAGAGATCATGATACACACTGACACAGAGCAGAATAGAGACTGTTCCTCCTACATAGGGTCACTTGGCAGATATGGATTGACACCTGTCCTCAGAGAACATGATACACATTGACACAGAGCAGAATAGAGACTGTTCCTCCTACATAGGGTCACTTGGCAGATATGGATTGACACCTGTCCTCAGAGCCCCTGATACACACTGACACAGAGCAGAATAGAGACTGTTCCTCCTACATAGGGTCACTTGGCAGATATGGATTGACACCTGTCCTCAGAGCCCCTGATACACACTGACACAGAGCAGAATAGAGACTGTTCCTCCTACATAGGGTCACTTGGCAGATATGGATTGACACCTGTCCTCAGAGATCCCTGATACACACTGACACAGAGCAGAATAGAGACTGTTCCTCCTACATAGGGTCACTTGGCAGATATGGATTGACTGTTCCCCCTACATACACACTATTGGATCTCGCAAAACTTACCAAGGATCTAAATCATGTTCCCGTATCGTACATGAAAAACCTACTCATACAAAATCTCTTCCCAAACGTCATTTCGTTCAAAGTGGAGAGAATGTTAAAAAAATATATTTTTGTTCTGAGTGTGAGAAATGCTTTTCAGCCGCTTCCAATCTTAAGCATCATTTGAGGAGCCATACAGGAGAGAAACCTTATTTTTGTTCTGATTGTGGGAAATATTTCTCTCAAAGAGGCCACTTTTATATTCAATCTATAACAGTGAAAAAAGTTTTTTGGTTTTAAATGCAAGCTATTGTGACACCAGTGAGTGAGTGGTGGCACTGGGCACAGTATCCACTGTGAGCCTGACACAGACGCTGGCAGACAACTAACTGCTATTCAATCTATAACAGTGAAAAAAGTTTTTTGGTTTTTAAATGCAAGCTATTGTGACACCAGTGAGTGAGTGGTGGCACTGGGCACAGTATCCACTGTGAGCCTGACACACCCGCTTTGAGACAACTAACTGCTATTCAATCTATAGCAGTGAAAAAAGTTTTTTGGTTTTTAAATGCACGCTATTGTGACACCAGTGAGTGAGTGGTGGCACTGGGCACAGTATCCACTGTGAGCCTGACACAGACGCTGGCAGACAACTAACTGCTATTCAATCTATAACAGTGAAAAGGGTTTTTGGTTTTAAATGCAAGCTATTGTGACACCAGTGAGTGAGTGGTGGCACTGGGCACAGTATCCACTGTGAGCCTGACACACCCGCTTTGAGACAACTAACTGCTATTCAATCTATAACAGTGAAAAAAGTTTTTTGGTTTAAATGCAAGCTATTGTGACACCAGTGAGTGAGTGGTGGCACTGGGCACAGTATCCACTGTGAGCCTGACACA